CATAGATGAAGACTCTTACTAGTATGGGTCAATCTTCATTCTTCCCCACAACTCTTACTAGCATAGGTCAAGAGTCAAGACTCAAAGTTGATTCCTATATAGTAAATAAGAAATGTAATTAGAGTAATAATACAACCATACTAACTAATCAATAATGATCTTAACTGAAAGTTTAAACAAAAAAATGTATCTCTTTGTCAATGTCATCCTTACTAAACCTTGCACAAGCTTCGAAATATGATGAAGGAGCAGAATTTCCTAAATACCATACCCGCCCCATTGTTATACTAGTGGACATGCCCAATTCATCACATAAAAAGCACAATAAGTCAATGTTTGACCCACATTATTTTTTTCATTTCGATTCTTCTACTCATTTTCAACCACACATTCTTCAATAAAATAATATTTTCTGTCACATCAATAATTTTTCCTTCATTTTCAACCACATATTCCCCATCACATCACTTCAAAAAAATGCATTCTCTCATTTTAATGTGTACCAAACAGACTCTAAGTCAAGCCTTACAGAAAATAAACTTTAAGTATAAAAATCTTTTTTCATCAATCCTCTTGACCCAACTCTACATCTACTAAAAATCATATTCGAGTCAATTTCTTTTTATAATCAACTTTGGCCAAGCTAATTATATTTTGAATAATGGTATCTAGAACCAATGACATTAAACATTAACCTCCTGTTTGACACCTATTCTATTTCTCATTTTTTCGACTACACATTCTATTAATAAAATAATATTACACATTAACCAAAAAAATTCTCCTTACTTTTTAACCGCACATTCTTCCATCAATCACTATTCCAAAATTTATTATTTCCTCAAAATAGGTGTCAAACACAAGCTAATATAGATGTAAGCATGTCATAACAATTTTTTTTTTTTTTTTTACAGGTAATTGGTTTGGAGTGGGGCACCATCGCTAAATACCATACCTGTCCCACCCCGAATCAGGTCATTAAAATCAAAATCATAACCACCCTATTGTACCATCGATTCGATTTTTTTTTTTGTCTCATTCTGTTCGATTAATCGCGATTTTCAATTTTAACAGTTCGAATTATCCTCCCTAAATGTCAGGTTAATCTAGTGACTGATCAAACTTTTGAAATAAAAATTCTTCCCTCAGCCTCCAAATTGTGAACGTGTAGCTGACTTCTAACACGGTAGTCTTTTTTCCCACGCTTCCTCCAAAAAAACCTTCCACGCAATTTTCTCTTTCTAATTGCAATCAACTCAAGAAATTTGCAATCACGGTCTTCACGTTTTACAGATAAAGCATGCGAATCCTCAATCAACATTTTCTAAGTGTATGTTGGTCCCTCATAGATGAAAACCATCATTTTTTCCCTCAACCCATTATGTGCTCTAAACGTGATTATTTAAATGTTGTTATTTTCTTTGATACACTTTGTTTCCAGTAAAAACATTTAAAGAACTGGAAATCGTGCACTAACCTTTAGACTTTATGACTTCTGTTTAACTTAGATAAAAATCAGATTTTTAATAGATTTTGATAAAAATTGATGAAATGTGTGGTTAAAAAGTTGTGAATCTTGTGAAATGTGTGGTTAAATTAAATGTTGACTTTGAATTTTAGATTTTAATCAATTTTTTTAGTTGAACCAAACAAGGACTCAATCTATTCTTTTTTTCCCCCATTTCAACTGTCATTTTTGAAAACTCTAGTGAGCTAGAAGAAATTGTACCCTTAAATAAGTCATCCCTGTTTAAGGGAGAAAATAATAGTTTTTATTGAGCGAGGACCAATCTGCACCAAAATAAAAAGTTAGAGGACCTAAGGCTGGAATTTTTTTATTGAGGACTCGTGCTTTTCTAAATAAAAAAAATATATATATACTCCCATTTGATCCATTTCCATCACATCCACTTGCAATACAAGAACACAACTTTAAATTCCCTTCACACAAAAATCTACCTGTTCACTTCAAATTCATAGATATTTATAATTAGTCAAGATGGCAGAGGAAGGCGGGTGGCCTTTGATCGGCCGTTTAAAGAGGGCGGTGAAGAAGATAACTTTTCTACTTAATCTAAACGTTAACAGATGGAAACTGGCGTCGATGATCGGGCGTTCATTGAGCAAGCGGAGGCTGAGCTTCAATGATAGACCCGGTCTGAGGGCATTTATGGAAGAATCCGAGCCGAATAACTGTGATCCACCGGGTTCTTCTTCAAAGGAACTTCAGAGGACAACAAGTTATCCATCGGAAGATGATATTGATAATAGAGCAGACAAATTTATTGCAAATTTTTATAAGCAACTTCAGCTCGAAAGACAAATTTCATTGGAATTGAAGTACTATAGAGGAAACAGTTTTGATTCTGCATCTCCATGACATTTATTAGACGGCCGGGATCAGTTCTTGATTTGCTGCAATACCCTAAATACGCAAGGAGAAGATATTTCAATTTTCATGCAGCTGCTGGCTGCTGCACAATTTACATTATCTTAATGGAGACTCAGTTTTAGGAAAGGATCTCCTCTACAAGTATGAAATTTGTGGTAAAAAAAAGGTGTAGAAATTTTGATCTGTTTTAATATTTGGATAGTTGGATCAAGATACCCTTTTTAAAAAAAAGTGTAGAAATTTGTATAGGAAAATATTTGTTTGGGGGTTTATTGGCACTATGGGCCAAAAATAAAATAATGTAATCATAAGGCTTTGTTTTGGCATTAAGTGGTTGATATAAATATAAAGTGCAGACTTTGTTTCGCTCGCTCTTTAAACATGCCTTGTATTTCTTTTTGTCTTCATAAAAGAACATTTGTATTGATTACGAATATTTAATTAGTATCAAAATTTAACTTACTCTCTTATAAAGTAGAAGTCTTGAATTCAAATCTCTCGGACACGACAAAAAATCGTGAATGCCAAGATAGACAGAGGGTCATCCAAAGTCATGGTACGTATAATAAAATGACTTGAACATAAAGGTCTAAATCGTTATAGAAATAGTGCCTCAGTTGTAGCACGTTTCTTGGATTTATTAGCCTGGTTTTACGAAGCTATGTATACATCACATGCTCCAAGTGGAAAAGAATTCCAGCAAATATCAAGTGAACCAGAATTGCATACTACGAAGGGAAATTTAATTTCTTGAAAATTGATATAATAATCAATTAATCAGCCTATGCTGATAAAATGAACAAAAAAATGAGCCCGATAAATATATGAATTACTTATGGTATATGATACAATTTAGAAGGTTTCAAGTTTTGTGTGACATTAAAATACTTCAATGTCCGAATCCACTTCTCTTGTGTCTTCAAAAGGTGAACGGCAATGGTGTCCGGCCACAGTTCATGTGTACATCTCGTGGGAGGCTCGGGATAATTGTACATCGACCATTTAGCATTGTACCTGTTCTTTCCACGATGACCATCTCGTAGCCACTCGCCAAAAATTTTATCCTCAGGTCCTTCCAAATGATTCTTTGGAATATCTGAGTCCCTAACCCATTCGACGATATCCCAAGAAACTAAATAGCCCATACCGGACATGTAATGTACGAATGGATCCATACTAGGGCACGGGATAACATATCCATAGTACAAATCTTCTCTAGGCAATGGCCTTAAAGAATCTACTAAACTTTGTAACCTGAAATATGCATCATCATCCCCTTTCATCACATAATGATAAGGTGGATATGGCCCATCCTTGGTGTTTAGCATCTCCGGCAAGCTCGAAAAGTAAGTGTAGGTTTTACCTTTGTTCATATTCTCTTGACAATTCATGATTATGATATCATCATAACGCATGATCTCTAGTGCCACCAACACCGTTTGATCTTCCTTAGTGAGATTGCAGAACACAAATTTCACATCGACTCGTCCTCCGACCGGAGATTGCGTGCCGTAGATAAGCCTCAAGAAGTGTCTTTTCTGATATTGATCAGGTAGTGTCAAAATCCCAATGAGTATTCTTATATCATCAGAAGATGAATTTGCAGTGGTCAAATTTGCAAGAAGAAAATTTTCTGCAGATGAATTGTGGGAAGTATGAGTTAAAGCACATTTTCCAAATTTCATTAGACTGTCAAATCGAATTTCATTGACAAATGCTAAAATACAGAGGAATACAATGAAGAAGAAACAAGAAATGATGAATCCCCGTCCATTCGATCCGTTTGGCTTCATACTGTTTTATGCGTAATACGAAAAGAATCCTACTATCTCGACCGAGATACTGAAAGCTATAGGAAGTCGAAACAAATGTGGTTAGAATTACGAAAAATTGAACAAAAGGGTTATGGAAATGGAGATTGGAGAAGAATGGGATCATGATAAAATGCTGAATTTCTTGAATTCAAAGTGTTTAGTTGGCAATATCGTGCTAAGGAGTCTACCATTTTGACTTTTCATCCTTAACGAAAGGGGTTGGAGAGGGAAAAAAGCATGAAAATGAGTGGGATTGAGCCTAAAGTTAGATTCACTCTATTGGTTTTATTTCGCACAAATCTTGGTCATATAGTCAACCTTGTTTAGTTAGGTACTTTTGCATGAACATGGAGTTTTGAATTATGTAAAGTACACCCTACTTGAATTTGAAGTCATTGACTGCAAGAAAATGCTTTTATGGATCCAAGAAGCACGTCGGCAATCAAGCAATAGACATGGAATGGAAGATG